CAGTATCCTGGCTCCCATCTCCCATTGCACAACCAGGTGTCCAGAACTGTCCGAGTGGACTCCACAGCTGGGCCCTGCAGGGAAAGTCTAGACTGGCTTTAGTTTGTCCACAGTGGATCAAGTGCCACTGTGCACAGTCATATCCAGCCAGGGCCGGCACCTGGTATGGCGAAAGCAGCCAAGCATGAGGGCACATGCCTCTAATCTCAGCACTGTGAAGGTGAGGTGGGAGGATGGCAGCATGTTCCAGGACAGCCTGGGCTATACAGGGGTGAGCTGTACTGGTCAGGCACCCAGAGGGCACTGCTCATCATGACAGGAAGAAGCTGACCAGATGGAATAATACTCAACTGCCTCAGGACCTTGAAATCCAGATTCACGTGGTTCAGCCCATTCAAAACCACGGAGGCTGTAGGCCTGGCCACTGACCATGCACCCCCACTCCTCTTGTGCTGAGTGTGACACAGTTACAGCTCACACATGACTTTGGGAGCCTTCATGTGCCGTGACTCTGGTTGTCCAGACAAGGGAGGTGAAGGCCAAAGAGGTTATACCGCTTCTGATCCAAGAGCACAGTGCAGGATTTGGGTTTGAGCACGTCTCCCGTGTGTTTCCTCAGCCCAAACACGAAGCTCCTACATGGACCATCTCCGCACCATGAGTGCAGGCGGGAGTCGCTGAGCTGGTCCTCACGCCTGGAGCTCGAGCAGACCTCAATGGAGAGAAGTGTAAGGTGAGCCTCAGGAAAGAAACCTTTTCAAGTGGGTGTGGCCTCCTTGAAAGCTCCCCAGCTTGGTTGCCTTTCACCAGGTCTCCTGACCTCTCCAAGCCATCTGGCACCTTGTCTCTGTAATGGGGAAATATTTTTTGTCTTACAAAGACAAAGCATGTTTTCTTACTTTGAGGCCTTTAAAAATGACACAATCTGCTGTCATGGTGGTACGAGGGGTGATTGAACAACACAGCGAATGTGTAAATTGAAACACAGCAGTGTTGTAAAAGACACATTACTATTAATTCCCCTCCAAGTAGTGACCCTCGCCCCCAGCATGCTTTTCCCATCATTCTTGCCACCTCCTGCATTGGCTCTGGAATTCCTCCTGCAGGAGTGTCTGAAGTGTGATGAGGCATCCAGCGAATGCTGCTGTCAAGTGACGCCAACTAGAAAGGCAGCCTTGTAGAAACATCAAGCCAGGTCCTTACCCACCGTCTTCACTGGGTCAGGGGTCATGCAGCTTCTGCTCTTCCTCTGGGCAAGAATGGCCATGGAAGGTCAGTGCTTTGAATCAATTCAGGGCAGCAAGGCAGCCACCACAGCACACCTAAAAACACTCATCTCAGAAAAGGATTCCACAGTTACTCCCAAACGCGGCAACAGTGAAGAGGTAAGTGTGGCCAGAGCAAGGGGGACATCATGAGGGGGACTAATGGCACTCTACCTTTGACTGTAATTTTTACATTTCAACGCACTGTGTTTCCTGATCATACCTCGTGTACAAGTTGCCCAGGGATTTGCCTTCACTCATGGTGACAGCTGTCACATGAATGGAACTTACTGAGAGGCTTAACTTATTTATTAAGTATTTCACAAATATGAACTTTTGATATCCTCTTAACTACCCAGAGAAGTCAGTAGCTTGATCTCCATTTCACAGGGCGAGCTGTCAAGACGCAGAAAAGTGAAGCAATGTGTCCGAGGCCAACAGCTCTCGAATGAATGGTAAAGCCAGGAGAGTGTTTCCTCTTGTCCCGGACTGCCAGGAGGATGTCTGTATCTCTTTCTCATGAACTCTTGACACTGTGTCTGGGCCAGATGGAGAGACAGGCTGGAAAGGACTGGCCAGGAACCCCAAACCCTAGAGGGACACAGACATCCCCAAAATGTTTGGGTGCCGGGTGCACCTGGAAAAGCTACAGTCTGTGGACACTGAGTATCCCACGATAGACGCAGAGACCCTGAAGGCCAGCCTCAGTGCTGGCGAGGATGCTGAGGACCACACCCCCTCCCGCTGAGGCACCCCTGCAAACACAGTCTGAGGCCTTGCAGTGTGCCTGCCCATCTCCCACACCGGCCAGCCTCCCTTTGCATTTCTGCTGTGGAAGGAAAGGAACACACAGACCCATTATAATCCAGCAATACGTAACAAAGACCATGTGGTGTAAAGCCAAAGTGTATAAATCAAGCAGATGATTTTAAAGGTAAGTTTTGAAAATCTATTTCATTCATTCGTTAAATTTCATCCAGAGGTGTTATATGATTACAAATGATGCATTCAAGCCTTGGTGGCCAAGGTCAGGAGCAGATTCAAGCCCAGTGTGCGCTCCACAGACCTGTCCAACATGGCTACTTTTATATGAAAACTCAAAGAATATATATAGATTAGAGACAGAGATGGAGATGGAGATGGAGATAGAACTTTCTCAGGAAAGTAGAAGACAGAGAAATAAGAAGTAGGGAGAAGTTCAATTTCCCCCCAAAGTATCTATTCCATTGTTTTAAAATATTTAAATAGATAGGCTAAAATAAATAAATAAAATCATAAAAAACCCAAAAAACTAAAAAAAAAAAAAAGAATAAAAAATAGATAGGCTAATTTGTTCTCATTTATAATACTAGTAGGTTCTGTTAGTTCACTGAAAAGAGAGTTTTCTGCTATTACCTGTTAGGTCCCTTCCTCTGTCAGGAAAGAGAAGCCAAAGAGAAGTATAGAAAACCTTCATAGGGCTGGGGAGATAGCACTGTGGTCTAAGTGCCTGCCTGGCAAGCTCAGAGGGGCCCCAAAACCGGGTGTGGCGGTGACGCCTGTAATCCCAGTGCTGGGGAGGCTGAGAGTAGGATCACTATGAGTCTGGACTATGTAGCAGGACCCTATATCAAATGGATACTAGTATTAGTACGACAATGAAGAACTTTATGGTTTGGCATAGGGGGACTGCTGAAGAGACACAAGATCCCTCAGGGAGAAGGTAGGTAAACAAAGAACTCATCGGGCTGGATTGGGGGTGGACTCCAGGGCAGTATGTGCTGCCCTCACAGGAGCTGACTGGGGAAGGTTTGGAGTGTGCAAAAAAAATGAATGGGTAAGTGTGAGCTTAACTATGGGGAAGAAGATGGAAGTCAGTCGAGGAGCAGCTGGCTCTTGGTCTTGGATCTTCACTCCACGCTGACATGCCACCATGATGAACCAGAAGACTCCCTGGGCGCAGACCCATCGGGCCTTTGGTTCTTTTCTGGAATACAGAGCTTGTTTTGTCTGTGACTTGTAGTTAGAGTAACATTTTGGCCAATCTTTTAAGACATTGAGACACGGGGTATTAAATATGTTAATCCCTGCCTTCTGGTTAAATTGTGGTTAATTTTTTCACAGGAGAAAGAAGAATGCTTTTTTATGTTTATTTTATAAATATCTACTTATACTTTGTTTTTTTTAAAAATTTATTTATTTATGTGTGTGTGTGTGTGTGTGTGCGTGTGTGCGTGTGTGTGTGTGGCCAGCTCAGCCCACCAGGGGGTGGGGCTGGCAGGCCTGTGGTGCTGGGGGATTGAACTGTGGTCCCTGTGCTTTGCAAAGCTTGTTTTTTTTTTTTTAAGTAGGTGCTTTAGACCACTGAGCCATCTCACCAGCCCTACTTAAATTTTGTTGAATGAAAATAAAAACAATCTTGAGGCTGGGGAGATAGCTCAGTAGAATAAGAGCTTGCCTAGCAAGTGCAGGGTCCTGAGTTCAATCCCCGGCACCACAAAAAAAAATAAATAAATAAATAAAATAAAAAATAAATAAATACATAAAAATTGAAAAACAAAATCTTAAAGCAATGGGAATGACTTAATGCTGCAAGATGTTTCTCAGCTCCCACAAGCGTGGCAAACAGCTGATCGCAGGCTCAGGAAGCCTTCCTCAGCTGCGCTACCAGGCAGTGAAGAGCAGCTGGACAGCAAGAGAGGAAGAAGGCAAGAACTTCACGCATGCTTGGTGAGGAGCAGGATGCAGAATGTGAACTAAAACATGCAGTGTGCTGGAACATGCAGTAAGACCTACCTCGGAAACAAAACACAAAATAAAAGGAACAACTAAGCTTTAATAGGACAGACTGAAGTAAAATATGCAAATGGAATGAAAAGCTCTGTCTTCTTAAAATCCTAACCACTGATCATAAAAAGAATGAAGGTTGGGTGTGGGCATGGACCACTGCCCATGATGAATATAGTGATTAAGTAGGCAAATACTTACTGATAAAAATACAATCACTAAAGATAAAACCCTAACCACAGACTGCCGTACAACATGAACAGTTACTGAGAATGGATGAAATCAACATTGCGCAGTTGTGAGCAGCCCCTGATGACATCAGTTGACAGTGCCTGTTCCTATGGATACAGCCTCAGGCCCATAGGGGAGAAATGCAAAAGAGCAATGAAATCATTGGTCCCCTGTAAACCTGAGGCTGCTCCCTGCTCCAAGGCATGGTAGGGATGTGAGGTTTGCTGTTTCCCTCCCTGGGAGAAGGCTCCAGAACAGTCATGGAAGTGGCCCCTCTTTGGAAATGTCAGGCCTCCAGGTCCAGGCAGGGCCCCATGAACATTTTGCATCCTAGATGTGAGGACACCCAGTTGGGACTCAGCTCACATTTGCCCTCAGTGCCCACCTGCCCTTAAATGCTCCCCAAACAACAGAGCCACACTTCCTGGGAGCTCCCTCATGCCTGGCTCCTTGGATTGTGGCTGGGTCCCCTCCAGCCTTGCAGCTCTCTGGGACAGCAGTGGGGTGGGAGGCAGGATGATGGCCAGGGACCCCACAGAGGACCTCAGAGCACATCAGTCCCACACCCACCTTGGCTGGAATAAACCAACTCCAGCTCTGTCAACTCCAGGTCAGGGACAAGGGTCAAACCTGGGCTGTGGGCTGGCTTTGGGGAAGCGTTGATCAGGTTGTGTCACAGCCCCAGGTGGACCGTGCCAGGCTTCACAGCCCTGCCCACGTCTCCCTATAAAGCACCCTGCCCGCAGCAGCTGCTATCCCTGGTCTAGGCACCTCCTGCTCTCGCCATGGCGCTGCACTGGGCCCTGGAAGCCCTGTGCCTCCTCCCACTGCTGAACCCTCAGAACCCAGCCTGCACCAATGTCACAGCCATGCCCATCACCAGCGCCACGCTGGACTGGGTGAGTGCTGGGGCCTGCTGCCCGAGTGCTGGGGCCTTCCCTCCTTCTCTGAGCTTTGATTCTCCTTCAGGTTCAGAGCCCCTGCTCCTGGCTCTGCTCTTTCTCTACTGGGGTAGAGGACATGCTGACCACTTTGGGCACCTCTAGAGGCCTCCCAATGCCATTAATTGCAAAGCACCACACCAAAGACCTCCACAGGAGACCTCCTCTAGTGGGCTACAGGGTGCCTGTGAGAGCCATGGGAGTGAGCTCTAGCCAGTGAATACCCCACCCGGGCCTGGGTCTGGCTGATGCCTGAGCAGAGGGAGAGGAGGATGAGTCACCAGAGGTTTCTCCTCCCTGAACTCCATGTCTGCCACTGCTTAGCTCAGCCGCAAGTGGTTTTCCACCGCATATGCCTTTCGGAATCCAGAGTACAAAAAATGGGCTGAAGAAGTACACACGAACTCATTTCACTTAGATGCAGATCCCAGGGAAAACAATGTGAAGATAGAGGAACAAATGACCATGTGAGTTCCCCAAAGCCTGTGTGCTTCCCGGCCTGCGAGGGGGCACCTGCCTTCACCCCACCCCCTCCACTGCCCTGCTGAGTCACGCTGACCTTGACTTTCTTCCTGGTCCTCACCACTCCTGGCCTCCTCCTGTGTGGTTCTAGCGGGGACCACTGCATCCAGAACTCAAGCTTCTTCACAGTGCAGAGGGAGAATGGAACCTTGACCAAAGTCGGTGAGGCCTGACCCTTTGTGGGATGGGCAACAAGGGTCTGGGCCATGGCTGCTGGCAGAACTGACCAAAGAGAACCCAGGCAGACCCAGTCCCCTTAACCCTCTCATCCTGGGCCAACAAGTCTGAGCCTTCACTGTGTGACAGGCACTGTTCACAGTGCTCTGCATAAACCAACGACTGTGTGCAGATACCTCTGGGCCATTGCAAGGATCCCGTGAGGAGACACCACACAGAACCCAGGAGACGTCCTGAGCTCACACAGCTTGTTGTCACAACTGAATTCAGAGCAAGTCTGGCCCCAGCTCTGTGCTCTCAGCCATGCTTTCAGAAACTGTGGAGCTCAGGAGAATCCCATGCGCGAGCACTGGAGACTCTGTCTAGGTCCCCACTGTCACTGCAGCAATGCAGAAACTCAGGTGGGACTGACTGGCCCCATGTAGCAGGCCTGAGTCCCCTCTGCAGGCCTCATCGTTCTCATCTGTGAAATGGAAGAGTGGTCATCTGAGGCTCTCACCATCATCCTGTGACCTTTTAGCTGCATGAGGGGCCTGAAGCCCAGGGAGCCTGGCCCCACGGTGGTGAGGACGGACCCAAGGGACAGGCCTGCAGTCCCCACCCACCTTGCCCATGGTGAACCCTTTCTCCCACAGTGAATGGTAAGGCATTTGTGGGCAGCCTGCTGCTCCTGCGGGACCCCCATAGCTTCGTGTTGGGCTTCCACCTGGAGGATGAGCACAACCACAACCTGGCCTTCTACAGTAGGTGCTGCCACATACCCCAACCACCTGCTTCTCCCCACAGCACCCTCACCCTTTTCTCTATCCCCATGCAGCTCACAAGCCAGAAGCATCACCTGAGCAACTGCAGGACTTCCGCGAGGCCACTGAGTGTGTGGGCCTGCACACATCGGAGATCCTGTATGTGGACTGGAAAAAGGTAAATAAAGGGGCCACATGGGCCAGCAACTGTGGCAGCCCTGGAGGCACAAAGAGGGGCAGCTGCCACCCTCTCAGTGCTGGGAGGGGGCTGTAAGCCTTAAGGACAGGCTTTCTTGCATGGTCAGATTAGACCTTCAGAGATTGGAGTAGGAGGGGAGGACTAAAGAGGGATGATCCCCTAAGGAACCGGGGAGAATCTGGGGCAGGTGAGAATTTAGAGAACACCTGGGATGGACCCCTTGGGATCCCCTTCCTGCCTACTCTTGTCACCCTCCTTGTTTCTACTACCTGGCCTTCATGGCGTAGGTATCCAGGCTTTGATGCCACACAAACCTCAGCAAATCCAGGACTTTGATCCTTATCGTTACACAAGGGAGTAGCTTGTGGAATGGCCTCCTTTGTGCTCTTCTCCAAGCCTACCTCCCTGCACAGCCCTATCTGCTAACTCAGAGCTGGGCAGCGCTGACACGTGGGGTCATAGCCGAGCCAGGATTTCCTGACTACTACCAAGAAAGTCCTCATCCTTCCATGCTGGGCTGAGGCTCTTGGCCTGGGAAAGGTCTCAGGGACGTGGCTGGCTGCC